TTGAATTATACAATATAGAATTAGGAAAGTATTTTGGAGAGTTTTTTTTTTTTTTTTTTTATTGCTAGAGGGCGTGTGCGCTCGCCAGACAGAGAGAGACAGAGAAACAGAAAGTGAGAAATCACCCCCTAGGGGGGATAGCCACGCCGCAATCCCTTCTTCTCCATTCTCCTCTCGGGATCTTGGGCACGCATGCACACACGCCCGGCATGAGTTTTAAGCCACCAGGTCCGGGACGCAAACCACGGTTGACTACATGGGAGTCCAGCGACATAGCCATTATGCTAACTGCTGGTCCCTAGAATTATGAAATTTTAAAAAGGTGAATTATATGGTATATATGTTGTATCTCAAAAAACTATTTTTAAAATTAATGTAGAGGATTAAAACATATTATTAGCAAATTCTTTGACACTCCTCCCATCAAAAGGTCCTTTCAGGCCATCCAGTGATGTGGTAGTTAAGGTGTCTGGATTCTATATGACCAACTGTGTAGTTTGAGTCCCAGATCCAGCAGCTTGACAAACATGCTAAGCAGGTGTACATGCATGCCAAAATCCTGAAAGGAGAAATGGAGGAGATGTGATTGCAGTGTGACCATCTTCATGGGGAGTACTTTATTACTTTTCCTCTCTCTCTCTCTCTCTCTCTTTCACTCACTCCTATGAGCACACATGCTCTCTAGCAAATTTTTTAAAATTTGGATCCTTTCCATTTTATGCTATCATAAACAATGCAGCAATGAACATTTTTATGCTGCTGCAATTATTTATATGGGATCAATTCTTATAACTTAAAAATACTGAAACAGTCAAATGACCATTTTACATAATTGACATCAGTAATAAAAATATCTGTAATCTCCTCCCCTTTATCAATCTGTTTATCCCCTTACTTAGAAATGATCTAGGTATATGACAAATATTCATTAATTAATTTAATACCAATTACAGTTTAAAGTTATCTAAAGATCTTGGAAACTATCTTCAGGTTGACATACTATAAAACGTACAAAACATAATTACTGTTTAACTAAAGGTTGCCAAAATAATGATTCAATTTGGTTAAATACAAGTTACATTTGTCATAATCTTAAATATTTAGCGGAAATAATGCTATCTTTTTTTTTTTCTTCTTGCACCTCACACCCACTCTCCACCACCTACTCTCTACCATGCACTCTCCATCCTTACAGTCTCTAGCATTCACACCCAGGCTCTCCACATCACATCTTCAGATCTTTCAATCTCTTTTTTTTAAGTCCCCTCCCCTTGGGTCTGAGTTGGAATCTGACTGTTTCAACAAACAGAAACACATTTTGTGTGCTGCCATATTCTTAACTCAAATTAAGTGACTTGATTCATTTAAAGGTCAGCCCCTTAGCACAGTGGTTAAGTGCAATGCATCCTCCATGAACAACTGCAGTTTGAATCCTGGTCCCTGTGGCTTGAAAAACATGCTAGGTGCACGTGCATGCATACCTACATTCCTCAAGGAATGGAGAAATGGAGGAAAAAGGATTGCAGTGTACCATGCCCTGTTGTGGGAGTGATCATCTATCTCTGGTAAGCATGCACCTTCTGGCATTGTGAAAAAGAAAAAGAATTCACTTAAAAAACTAGTTTGAAAAAAAACTGTAGAGCTTCTGCCAGTCTCTCTTGGACACTTGCCCTTGAAACCCAGCCATCATACTGTGAGGAAACCCAGGCCACATAGAGAAGCGCCTCACCATCAGTCTCAGCTGAGCCTCCAGCCAAAAGCCAACACTGACTTGCCAGAAACTCTGTGGTTAAGCCATCTTGAAAGCAAATTCTTCAGCCCCAGTCAAGCTGTTATAGCTGATGCCACATGCCATCATTTTAAGCCATTAAGTTTTAGGGTGGTTTGGTACACAGAAATGGACAATTATAATACTTTATGTACTTAAAAGAAGACTGAAAACAACCTCTGGCCTCCTGTTCACTGTTGATATTTCTTTCTAGTAGATCACCATCCAACCTCTGTCTGAACATTTCAACTAACACGAAAATAAGCTCCTCACAAAGTCATCCCTTCCACTGATAAACAAGTATGGAAATTACAGTCTGCCTTATATTAAGGCCAGTTCTGTCCTGCCCAATTTCTGGTTCAAGTTCTTACCTTGGAGGTGACCATTACTTTCTAACCACTTTTCTTCAGGAAAGGACATTACCTTATTAAATGTCATTCACTAGTAGAGAAATCTTCAGCAATGTTCCACTTTATAGCCTAAGAACCTGAAATATACAAATTGGCTGCTGTACTCAAAGTTATATAATAGACACTTTAATTTCTGGTTTTTGTTTAGAAATATTTCTATTGAATATGAAGCAAATATAACAGATGTTTAGCCTGTGCAAATAACAATTTTAATACTTATGCCATCATTGTTCAGAGAACTAATTCTCATTTCTCTACTTAGGAGGAGGAATATTGGCATGAATAATTGGAAAATGAAAACTTTCTACATCACTCATCCTCACCTCATTTGTACTTAAATGTTTCTTGTTTTAATTCCAAAAAGCCAGTAAGCTCTTGGAAAGCAGGGATAAGTCTTAAAATTTTGAGTCTTCCTTTGTGTTTGAGTACATATATATTAAATAATATGTTAGCTGTGGGAAGCAACATACAGTTAACAAGGATAAAAATATTCCTCTCCAAATGGTTTAAACATAGGTCTTATAGTCCCAAAATATTTATCATGTCAGTGTAGTAATTGTCTAAGCTTTTTTTCTTCTTCAAAGTCAGCAGTAATAGAAAAATTTTCTTCTTACACTGTTGACTGCACTAGGTCAGTTGCCATGACAACAAGTACTCCCCAAACATTCTTTCTAATTGAGACAATTTTTCCTAGCTTCTGTCCCTTAAGACTGACCCAATTACACAACTCAAAACCCAAAACCCAAGGGGTACTCCTCCATAAAGATCCTCTGATTATACAATCTAAGGAAAAATTTAAACACCATTTTTCCAAGTTGCATGGAAACTCTTCAGGCAACCCATTTTGTTTTAACACTTAGTCTTACAAGTTGAATGGTAATTGATACAACTTTAAAACTGTATATGCTATACCCCATAACCACATTACAGAAACTTATTTTATGTATCTATTACTACCTCATACACTACAGTACCTAGTAGTGTGCTCAAAAAATGTTCCTTCAAAGCAGTGTCCATGGCTTGCAAGTTTACTTCTGGTTCATTTGGGGGTAAAAAAGATTAGATGCTGGTGTCCACTATTCTATTTTTCAATGTATGTACTAACTAAAAGAACAACAACAACAACAACAAAACACAGAACACACCCACTTATCTAAAAGGTTTAACATGAGAGATCCCATTAATACAGATTAGCTAAGACAACTTTTTGTGAAACAATGATTTAGAAGCAACCAAGATTACTATAAATAAAAAAAAAATCTGTTTTAGCCTATAATTTAAAAACAAATAGCTAAAATAAAAATAAAATACACAACATTCTCTATGGCAGACAGTTCAAACTTAAAGAGCATTGCTAGAAATGGTAAGGTTGAGGGGCCAGCAGGTGGTGTGGTGGTTAAGGGTGCTGGACTCCTACATGGCCGACTGCAGTTCGAGTCCTGGACCTGGTGGCTTGCTTTCTCACTTTCCTTCTCTCTCTCTCTCTGTTCCTCCCTCTTTGGTCAAACTAAAATAAATAAAGTTAAACAAAATAATTTTTTTAAAAAAATTTAAAGACAAGAAATGGTAAGGTTGAGAGAAGTGAACCTTTAAAAAAACACCCACTGGATAACTTTAAATGACAGGTGCAATCTTCTTGTACAACATAAAGCATAGTAATTTCCTTTTATACATTATAAAAATGCTATCAAGTATGGATAAGATAGAATACCACTTGACTCAAGAAAAGAATGAGAAGGAGCAGAAAGACTGAGCTGAGAATTCTGTAGAAGCCTTTTAATTTCTTTAACCTGACATTCGGAGAACTGAGTGTACATAAATAAATTCTGCTGGAGATCAGAAATCATGCAGGGAAGTCTATGATGTCAAAGATTTAAAGTAAATGTACTATAAGGGTAAAGCATTAAGCAAGGAATTAACCGTTCATAACGTTCATTAAAAAAACAAAATCTCTCATTTTGTTTGGGAGAGAAAAATAATTGATAAGTCTATCAAAATATTTTACTAAGCACAAATGGAGAACTATGTAGAAAGAGGAACCATTATGAAATATATGACTAAGTATGTTTTGTGCAAGACTAGTGAATATTTTCAAAGCTTTTTGGTTTCTCCCTACATAAAAAAGGAAAATTAAGGGCGTTTTCATTCATTTAAAGCAACAGTAAAACCACTGCCTGATTTATGCCAGTTATTTTCATCTTCAAGTCTTAACATACATTTGAAGACTGATTTGATTTGCACTTATCCCTTTCGAGTAACTGGAAGAGGAGGAAGAGCAAAGCTGTACTTTAAACTGTACACTTAATAATTGAGAAAATTTAGCAGTGGACTATATTATGATCTACCGGGGAGGGCAGACAAAAGAAAAAGCAGCCACAGAACATAAGCTGCAGAAGAGATGAGAATCGGTCCCATGGGTAACTCGACCACTGAACAAAACCCCGCTCAGTGTTGCCGGAGAACTGAGGTGATTTGAGATTCAAGGCATTCTCGGCTCCTTCCCTCCCGCGAGTTCAGCTTCCTATGGGAAGTCCGCACTAGTTAGGGTACCAGCTCTGAGAAAGCCCCCCCCCACCCCCGGATCTATCTACCAGAACAAATAGAAGACCCCTTCCAGCTCTTAACGGTCCTCTAGAGCGCCCTCCCTAGCGCTAAACTCCACGCCCCCCTCAAAAGTCCTGCGCCCAGACTTCAGCTAACCGCATAGGAGAAACAGATAGAAGGTGGCAACTACTGGGTCGGCCTCCTCAACGCTTCAGGGCCTTAAGGGACCCTGCAGGGGCGGCTCAGGAGGGCTGAGATCAGCGGCTACAAGTTTCTACCTTCTCACGTTGGTCCCAGCTGTACTGCTTCGGCTGCTCCTCCTCGTTCTCGGGCCGCGACTCCTTCTCAGCCTTCCGCCTCTTGGAGAAGAAACAGCCCATGGTTCAGGCC